GCAAACATCTGCTGCATGAAATTATTTATGAAAACTCATTCAAAACTCATCTGAATATTTCATTGTTGAAAATAGTGAACTGCAAAATCATATTTATTTCTATGCCTTTCATAGTTTGACACTGTTTGTTAACAAATTCACCAAAAGGCAGAAACGAGTCTGCTGCATAAAATTATTATTAAAAAACTCATTCAAAACTCATGTGAATATCTAACTGTTGAAAATTGAACTGCAAAATGTTATTTATTTCTGTTTTATATGCTATGCCTTTCATTGTTTGACACTGTGTTTAGCACTCCTAAATGAGACACAAGTCTGCTGCCTAAAATTATTTATGAAAAACTAATTTAAACCTCACCTGAATATTTCATTGTTGAAAATGCTATGCCTTTTATTATTTACCACTGTTTTTAGTAGAAATACTAGACATAAGTCTGCTGCATAATGTTTATTATTTATAAAAAAAAAAAACAATTTACACCTCACCTGAATATTTAATTGTTGAAAATGCTATGCCTTTTATTATTTACCACTGTTTTTAGTAGAAATACTAGACATAAGTCTGCTGCATAATGTTTATTATTTATAAAAAAAACAAAACAATTTACACCTCACCTGAATATATCATTATTGAAAATAATGAATTGCAACTAATATTTATTTCTGTTTTGTCTTTATTGGCTTATTTGGCAATGTTTTAGCAGAAATACTCCTAAACCAGACATAAGTGCTGAATAAAATTATTTATGAGGAAAAACATTGTTGAAAGAATATTTCATTGTTGAAAATACTGAACTGCAAATAATATTTATTTCTGTTCAATATACTATGCCTTTCATTCTTTGGCACAGTTTTTTTTTTTTTTTTTTACAGAAATACTCCTAAACGAGATGTACAAGTCTGCAGGATAAAATTATTTATGAAAAGCTCTGAATATTTCATTATAGAAAACTGTGAACTGTGAAATCTTATTTATGTTTTATATGCTATGCATTTCATTATTTGGTACAGTTTTTTTTCTCCTACATCAATTCAAACAGTGATTAAATGTGTGGGTTTTTTTTTTTTTTCAAATTGCTTTAAAATAAAAGTGAAATAATGTAATGTTTTCTGTTAAGGTGCTGCCACAGAAAATGAAATGCAACATTCCTGACAACTTATTTCCCTGCACTGAGTGATGCTGTTAATTCACCACCATCCTTACGCTTCCTCGTAAAGCAAAGTGATATTCTCAGAAATGAAATCGTGAATAGATCTGAAGTGAGAGGTTAGTGTCAATCTCAAATGTCTTCTCAAAGTCATTGCCCTCTCATGTGTCCTCTGAGGTAAGTACTCTGATATAGCCTCTTTTGTGAAGAATGCTGTATGACCTGTTGGAGGTTTTTACACAGGAGAGGACAGACATCAGCTCAGGAAACGGAGGGATGAGTGATTGTGGTGCTTCATTTGAACTGTGGATGGGGTAAGAGAGCATCATTATTCTCTCAAGACTCCAGTCAAGAAGAGTAGAAGCTCTAGTTCTGGACAACACCTACCCAAAGAGAGAGGAAGAAATGAAGAGAAACTAGAAAAAGAGGTCTATTGTGAATCTGTCAGTTCTTTTTAGAAAAGTACTTTACATTTATACTCAAATACTTAACACTTCAGAGATAATGAGTGCTTGCACATTTCATAATTGGTTAAATTCTTAGGTTAATGAATTTAGTGTTGGCTTGTTTGACCCAACATGTATTATTGTGTGAGCCTGAAGAGACCTTTGCACCCTAAAAATAGTAACTGTTCATGTGGAAAACAAACGGTTTGTGTGTACACAGCTCTGGCTGGCTCACTACAGTTGATGAATTTCAGTTGAAGCTCCTGCTCACTCTCTGTGAAGCACAGATAGAATCAATGGGACATTTTTTTAATCATGCAAAGTTTTGAAAATATTTTGGAATGGCCATGATTGGTTAACACTGAAATATGTACTGCCTGATGTACAAAAAGTATAAAATTGATTTTAAATTTGTGATTCTGGTTAATAAACTGAATCGCGTTGTTTGTATTCACCTACTTATTCAAAATCAAAATGCAAATGTGATTGTAATGTTTGCTACGCAAACCCCAAATGTAACTATGGTCTTCTGGCATTGCTCCAGTTGGAAGCTTGTTCAATCTTATTCTGAATCTTATTTAATCAGAACATTTCCATGTTAAGTATGCAAGGCTCGGCTATTATTATTATTGTAAGGTGTCCTTGTTACAGTGTAATTATACATTTAAGTACTGAGTAGTATTATTTAACTACATGTGCTTACTATATGGGTAGGGTTAGGATTAGGGTTTGTCCTAGGGTTACCTGCATGTAATTATGCATAATTTATTGTTATTATAATAGTAATTACATGCAACGTGTAACAAGAACACCTTAAAGTAAAGTGTTACCTAAGGCTCTTCTGATGCTTACATATTACTTGGTCCAATGTACTTATATGATAGACTGTTCTATAATATCTATAATATGAAAGACTAATAGTAGTCTAACAGAATTTTCTTTCATATGTTTCAATACAATTCTGCATATATTGTACAGACATACAGTATGTAGTACATTGATGCAGACTTGCAAAGGTAGTTCAGGGTCAGAAATGACGCTAATGAAGATGATTAGGCCCACTTAATTTGAATAAAATGCTTTTCCTTCATTCAGATGTTCTTTGATGAATCTGATGAATTCCATGGTAATGCAACCTAGATTCTCAGAATTCTTAGCACTTAGCGTATCCCTTTTTATTTAATTAGACTTAAGTATTACTGGTGCAGTTATGTTTGTCAGCTCTTTCTGATAAATTACTCTCTATACTGTTGCATGTTGCTAACAACACCAAAGCCAAGGGTTGTACTCAATGAATATGTATACATAAATGTATACTTCAATGCAGTTGGATGAAAACATCCACAAAATACATAGATGTAAATGTAATTTGAAAGAGCCTACTATAATGGATTACTCTAGTCTACACACATTGTTTATTCAGAATTTTAACTTTTCCGTTTTAATTTTTCCTTTAAGGCTGTGATAAAGAGCTCTAAGCAAGCACTGATATCTGGCAAATGTTTCTTTACGGCATGAATGAGGAGTTAGTAGATCTTTCTGTTTTCCTTTATGAACTATAATTGGTCAAATCAATTTGTAATATTTTTGTGCAGTAGATCTTGAGTACAGTGTGAAAATCAGTGATTATTTATGACGATGTATTTCTGATGATTTTAATCATTTAACTTTCTATTGTTTTACATTTAAAAAATGTATTTGAAGTAGATACTGGTGATTGTTCATTTAAACTGCTTGTTTGAATAGTGATAAACATGGAATCCTATGTAATTCATGTTCGAATTAAGAGGTACAGTATATTATGTAGTGTATTGGTGGATGTGATGTGTATATATCTATGTTGTATACATGGAAATTATCCAGTGTTTATATGGTAACCAGGGCAGGACTTAGGGGGGGCAGGGGGCCCTGGGCTTGAGTTTATGTTTGGGTCCTATACCTACACTACAAATGCCCTCAAATAGAACATCATTATGGAGTAACACAAAATACACAAACATATGCTTTGAGGTTCATAAATAGTACAATTAATTTGCAACGTCTAGGTATATATTCATTATAATATAATAAACAGGATGTGTTCTCTCAGTTGAGAGATCAAAACCCTGAAATAACTTTGAGCAAAAAAAAAAAAGAAAAAAAAAAAGAGAAAGCCAGAGATGTTGGCTTAGTATTATAAAAGTTATTGTCATATCTGTGTCCTCTTATGTCAGGTTCTTATTTAATCAATAAATTCCATCGAATAAAAAGAGATGCTGGCTATTAACAATCAAATTAAATCACTATCAACAAAATTCATAGATGGATTGTGCATAAATGTTAAGTTTAAATATAACATTTTAATGTAGAAATATTAAATGATTGCAAAAATGAAATAAGCTACTTTTTTAAATAGTGAGTTGAATCAACAGATTCGTTTAAAAAGCTGATTCATTTAACTTTGCAAACGACTGATTGAATCATTTGCTGGTCCGTGTAACACTGAGGAACAAAACACTGTTTTTCGGAGACGCAGCGGTTCTGCTGTTTGTTCTATTTTCTTTCAGACGGAGCGAAACGGAATTTTGTGTCTGAAAGTTACTCTGTAAGTTGTTGTTTATTGTATATTTGCGATCGTGCAGATATTCGAAGAAAAAAAAACAAAAAAAACGGGACTCTTGTTTGTGTGATAGGCTAAGTCCTAGGCATAGCTATGGTATAAAAACAGAAACTCATTAAATTGCTATTTTTTATTTAAAATTATTTTGATGACATTTCTTCCCCACTATGTGTAATGGCAGTAAGACGAGAGAGAGCGCTCAAAACTCATCAGATGATCGCATAATTTAGTGGAACATTATAGTAATATAGAATCATCCTCTGTAAAGAAATGAGGTGTGAACTTTGAGAATAAATTTGAGAATTTATCATTATCTTTCTATGTTAGCTGTTTAAAGTAGCCATGTGATAACAAACCAATCGGTGCAGACACGATTCAATACGTGTGTCCTTCCATGTGAAATAATCATAAATACCAGTTTATGCTGTTTGATTGTGGCCTCGAAGGTCGTAGTTGTAAGCTGTAGCCCCGGCTGGCCCGTTCAGATCTTGCGTGCATGCGCAGTGGAAATGTGGCTAATCATTTCTGAAATCTGACTGGCATATAACGAACAAATCAAACAAACAAACGTAAAAGGGCAAAGGCGGGGCCCCCTACAAGGCGGGGCCCATGGGCTGCAGCCCACTCAAGCCCAATGGTAAGTCCGGCCATGATGGTGTAACACGTGTATTTTTAGGAATTGAACACTGGTTGATGAATGATGACGTCAATATAATGAACAATTTAAAAAGTGGGTGGAGGGATGGAATTGTTAAACACTGAAGAAGGCCTTGAGCTGAAACATTTGTGATTTTTCCCTATTGGTGATAAATCTATAATAAAATGTAAAAAGAAGACTGTTTTTGCGAGTGCGGATCATGGCTTCATATACTAAATGTTTCTTTATTACCATACTTACTAGCCTATTACAGTTGACAAATTATGGAGGACCAATTTAAAAAAAATGTAGGCCTGCATTCCATATTACAAGCTTAAATGGCTACACAATGTAAAGTTATGAGAGTGATATCATGATAACCATATTTTAATGCAGGTAGGGATCACCGTTTACAGTTCCCTGTGTGTTAAAGGGTGTTCACGCTGACTGCGAAATGAAGCCATGCATTTTCAACTCCAGTTGGCAATTTTCCTTGTGCTGAACAGCAGAGTTCACTGAATGCAAATAAGTCCCTGCACGAAGAAGTGTCTACAATGGGAATGTGTAATGTTGGGTCACGTGATACAGTTGGATACCGTGGCAGAATACGAAAGGCTAGGCTAATAGAAAAAAAACGGTGCAGAAGATGCCCTTTACAGGTATGTGATGTGAAATCGTTGCATTCAAAAATAAATAAATAAATAAAACAATGAGGTAGGCCTATGTATTATTGTTTGATTAAAGCTGAAGTCCGTAACTTGTTTTGGTTAAAAATGATCCGAAATAAATTTTTGAGCAAGTACATAACCAGTCAGTGTTCAAAACTATCGTCTTACTTTAGCCCGATTCACAGCGGTAAACTTATAATAATGTTTTCTAATTTGAGTGGTACTGGTAGGTTTTCGCGGGAATTTCGAGCATCCCGCCGCGTCGTTACGTCAGGTCTGTAAACATAAAGAAGTTGTCCCGGCTAGTAGGCTATATCGCAAGTAAGGATTCTGCAGGTGGCGGATTGTTTATAGCCTTTTCTCACAGCAGCTAGGATAATTAAACTTAATAAATAATTAATAATAATTTAAGAATTAATAATTAAATCATTTTGATGGTGGATTGTAATCCGGAAAGGATTATGTGTTTATGAAACACATGTAAGTGACTGAAATTAGATTATATTCTGTTTAAATGTGCATCTCATTACAGATAGCCTACGTGGGATTACAAGTTTTGTATTTTGAAGAGAACCAGTTCTAAGATGAATAATTAGCTTTTTGGTTTAAAATAATTTCTTTATATTAAATTCGAATGGTATGACTAGAGATTAGACTGTACAGAAATTGAAATCTACATGTAATGCTAATACACACTACATACATGTAGTCACACAATGCCGATGTTATTAGCATTAACAATTTGAGAACAAAGTATAACAATAATAATAATTTGCACGGTTTGATGTGATATGAACTAACCAATCATTAGATTTAATCACTGCTGGTAGCGCGATTTATTGTAATGTTTTTTTTCCTCAGTTGGTAAGAACAAAATTGGCAGACTTGTTACTTGTTCAGATGACAATATCTGGTGAAAATTCTTATTTGGGCCATACTTCCAAGACGTAGGCTAGAATCTATGATTCCAAAGTACAGTATCCACTCTGATGCGGTGACTGACAGCCACACATACCCCTCAAAACATTAGATTGATCCATGCTGAGGAGCTGTGCCGACGCACAACCCACGTAAAGAAAATAATTCCGCAAATAACTGCAATTGCAGGTTTCAAACAAAGATAGAGATAGAGACAAAGAGGCTTATGGACTGAAACTTATGGACTGCAGCTTTAAATTGGCTTCTGTTTACATTATGCAAGATGTGAACTATAATGGTAACTACAGCTATAATGTAATAATCGTCCTAAGTCTAGAGAAGTTCACACCACAACTATAACAATAACGACAGAGAAACAGTATCATTGAAATAGCTTTCAGAACGATTTTTTGTAGGCCACTGAACGATAAAAAACAGCATCAGACGAACAAACTTTTAATAAGCAACGTTGTCATGCTTTTGGTGTGGACACTAATAGTTATTTTTATAGCTATCGCTCTTGGTGTGAATGGGCCTTTGCTTGTTTATTTAGTTCGATTTTGTGTGGATTGATGCCCCTTTCCACATCAGAGTAAAAAAGTAGGCCTATGTATAATAAAAAACGTAATATCTCACGATGTGACTTTATATCTCACTATTTAAACTTAATGACTTACAGTTGTGACAATTTTTCTGACAACTGCAACTTCTATATTCATAACAATTACTTATATAATGAAAACCTTATCCTTTCGGGAGTGAATTCAGTTTAGAACCAAACATTTTGTATGTAGAATGAGATTATGCATGGTAAAAGTTTAATGCCTCTTTTTAGTTGTAGTGAATATGTGTTTGGCCAGTGCGTACCTTCTGCTTTGTCTAACCAAAAACAATTAAAGGAACAATAAGAGAAGTGCTCTACATATAGATAAAATAAAAAAATATATATATAAAAATTCAAGGGTTTCTGAGTCAGAATACAGAATAACAACTGCGAAGAACAAACTAGCATGAATTACACTACAAAGACTTCATTGTGCGTTCGGACTGTGGCAGCACTCAGGGACAGGGCTCCTCCATTAAAGCTTTGATTCTGTAACTCAACACTCTTATGTCCTGTATACATCCTATAGACAAACTCTTATGTCGTGCCATATGTCACACTGCCTGCCAGTCATGTGTCGTTGATTTCTACCAAAGGATCCCTGATCCTTCATCAATGTGGTCACCGGAAAGTGTTGATATCACACATGTCCGCTGGTAACCACGACCACCTCCCTCCTGCATCTCAGTGCTCAGGTCATTGGAGTCATGAAGAATAGCCATTGTGAATGCTTAACAGCGTTAATGAGAGATTACAGGCTTTTTGGAAATATATTTGATTAATTATTTACTTGGAATCTCAATCAAGCTTCATTTTTAATGAAACAAAAGCTTTTCTGGAATTTAAATATTTTTGGTGATGTTATTATTGTGTACTGATATGCTAATTCAGTACAATAAACGAATTCAATCAACTTTTTTTGGATAGGCTTTGAATAGTCGTAACATAAATTCAGTAATCCACCGACAACAACAAACCAGCACTTCCCTATGCACTTTGTCCTTGGTATATCTGATCTCAGTGTGCCGGAGGCCTGTCCTAATTGTTCCTTCTGGTGGGTAAACAAGGCGATGCTAATGCCTCAGTGATGGGCCGCCAATGATTCCATCAACTCTTGGCATCCTCTCTCAATGCTGGACATAAGCATAATGCTGCCATTTGTTTTATGTCACAACAATATCATGCCCTCACTTGGCACTGCCATGCATGGGCAAAAACTCACAGAAATGTTCACTTTGCGACAAAGAGTACAGAGAGGTCTGAAATTTAATGGAGTTCCCATTTTTGTTCATGAACTAGGATATTGATGCACATTATGCAGTGGGGATTGGGATTCTAATTTAAATCTGAAATAATCAGAAATGTTAGAACTTTTAGAAAGTTTGGACAAAGAAACATTACTGT